ACAGAAGCAGCCCCGGCTGCGCCCGCCGTGCCCGAGTGCAACGGGAGCGTCGCCCCGGAGAAGGGCCCGCGCCAGGTCGTCGGTGCCGTCGATGAAATCGCAGACTCTGTGGGGACAGTTCCTTACGGGAATGCAGAGACCGGCCCCGACCGTCCCCTCGGGAAAGGAAATCAGGAGGAAAACGGGGATTCGTTGACAGAGGACGCAGCACGGGGGGACCTGGACGGAGGGAAGCAGCGCGAAGGTAACGTACCTGCCGGCCGGCTTTGAGCCTTTGGGAAGCAGAGCTCTGCTTTGTGGATGGCCTGATGAATACTGGGAGGTACCCAGGGAGTGAGTCCACAGCCCCAGCCTCTGCCTTCTGTAGCAACGGCTCAGAGCAACTCAAGGTTTAGGGACAAATTTGAAGTAGCAGTTACAGAGGGTGCGATGAAAAGTACCTTGACAAAAGGAACAAGCCATTTTTTTATCTGCTCTGAAAAGCTGCTGCCAATCTGCAACCATTAGAACCTAATTCCTGTCACTAACTGCTCCATCCCTCCATTCCTTGTGCTCTGTGTTTCCTAAAGAAAAGCAAGAGGAAAGCCATGGGATGCTCCAGCAGGGATCAGCTGATACCCAGGACACAGGGACCAGCAGCCAGGAGTCAGAGGGAGGTAATGGAAAATGCCACGTGCCCTCAGGGTTCCTGAGGCATAGCCATGAGAAGCCTGCACAGAATGGCACACAGAGGGGCTGCTTACTTGTTTTTACTTCGGTCAGACCCTTACACTGTGGGGAGCAGTGGGTCACTGCTCAGCAGTAGAGCTGCTGCCCCTTAGGAAACACGGTTGGTACTTCTCACCCTGAGGTTTGTGTGTACCTCCATCACCAGGGTGTTGCAGCACCATGGGGCCCTTGGGAGATGCTTTATCTTCAGCTCCCTGCTGGGAGCTCAGAGGATGAGCTCTGCACATCAAAAATGTGCAGCCCCAAAACCCAAGCTCTTTTCCTGCCTGATTCACCAAGTGCCAAAACGCTCCAGATGCCCAAATACCTGGCAGGAAATTCTCTGCTCTCCTAGCTGTCTGCTCCAGGGTGTGTCCCCTCGTTCTTAGTGAAGATGGCAAACCCCAGCTGGAGCCCAGGCTGGAGCTGGCCCTGCTGCTGTGGGGAGCAGGGCTGCTGGGGTGGGTTGGCTGCTCAGCCCTGGCAGCAAGAAAACATGTATGGGCTATATGTAGCCACAGATGAACGTGTTTAGTTGTGCCATGCAAAACGCAGCCCCTCCTCCTCAAAGGAGGAGTTTTTTTATTGAGTGTCATTAAAGGAGGAAAGCTCCATCCCCCCGTGGGTGGGCTTTTGGCATTGCTGCCCTTCCGTGCCTCCCACCCATGGCATCTTGCCTGGCTGGTTGGTTTTGGCAGCTGTGGGATGAGGAATGTCTGGGCCGTGGGCTAATGATGTTCCCCCCCCAGCTAGCCCAGGCCATGTTGGGGCCACAGGGCTGGCAGCTCTGTCCCAGTCCCCAGCAGGACCCCCCTGCCAGTTACACACCAGCTGGCAGCAGGAGGTTGGTATTTTCTGTGTGTCAGCTGCCACATAAATATGAAACCCTGCTCAGAGAAGAGCAGATTATGAAGCCCCTCCTTGGAGAAGAGCAGATTAACAACCCAGAGTAGCTGTTGTGACACTGGCAAGGCTGGTGTCGATGAATGGAGCTCTGGAAGATGTATGGGCCTTGCCTTGTAAACAGAAACTTTAATTACGAAAAGGAAAAAATAGATGAACCTTTGCCAGGGGCAAAATAATATTTCATAGCAGGTGCAGAGGCTGTGAGGAGGTGAATCATGCTGGAGGCTTTCCCACTTAGAGCTGACATCCATATTCCAGCTGTGTTGCTTTATGAGTGCACAATGAAACCTATTAAATGATCTTGCACAAGCCCCCCTGTGCTTCCCCCCCCCCCAAGCTACAAGCACTTTATCTCTAAATTGCAGGCAGCTTTTTAGTACCTCACCAATTTAGTCTAATTAATACTCAGGACCCCACAGGCAAAATGTTGAATAGGCCATTTGTTGGACAGCGAGGCGTGAGTCAAGGCAGCAGGGCAGGGAGCAGATGGCCATCTCAGCCTGGTTGGCCACCTCTGATGGAGGGACACGTCCCAGGAGTGCTGTGCCAGGTCCTGCTGCACCCGAGCCCCAGGGAGCTGGGACCCTCCAGCCCCAGGGTGGGGGCAGCAGCTCCAAAAGGGGAGCCTGGGAAACTGAGCCCAGCGCTGCCCAAGGAGACAGCCTGGGAGCTTTGGGAAAGCTACTGGGAGAGGCATCGTGCAGGGCCCTGCAGTGGGACGTTGGCCAGTGGGGAGGACAGGAGCAGAGCTGTGGGTGCAGGGGGGCACAGTGCCCCCGTGCTGGGGCAGGGGGTGCTGGGCTGCCCCCCTCCTCAGGCTATCCCCTCTCCTGGGACAGGAGGGCCTTGGCAGGGCTCATGGAAGAGGGGGTACAAAAGAGACTGGTGGTGAAAAGCTTCAGGGCAGGTGAATCCCAGACTCCTGGACTGGTTTGGTTTGGAAGGGACCTTAAAGATCATCCAGTTCCTACCATAGGCAGGGACACCTCCCACCAGCCCAGGCTGCTCCAAGCCCCATCCAACCTGCCCTTCAACACTGCCAGGGATGGGGCAGCCACAGCTTCCCTGGGTAACCTGGGCCAGGCTCTCACCACCCTCACAGTGAAGTATCTAATATAAATCTCCTCTTTTCTAGTTGGAAACTGTGTGTGTGTGTGTGTGTGTGTGTCCCCTTGTCCTATCTCTCCATGCCCTTGCAAAAAGCCCCTCCCCAGCTTTCCAGTACCACCTTCAGGTGGGTGACCCTAGGAGTGAGTTTGGAGCTGTTTGGAGCCTTTCCAAAGCACTGGGGAGCATGGGTGGTGCCAGGGCTCAGCCTGGAGCTGGGGGCACTCCTGATGCTCTGCAGGATGGGTGCTGGGGACAGGAGCTGGCAGCCACCTGCCTGGGTGCCACACCTGGGGCAGGCAGGGCAGGGGCTGTGCCCGTCCTCCCCATGTCCCTCTGTGTTGCTGCAGGGCTGGGCAGGGCTGCCCATGGGCAGGCAGAGCCGGGGGCGGCCCAGGAGGAGGCGGAGGAGGAGGAGGAGGAGGAGGAGGAGGAGGACACCGAGGAGGATGAAGTTCAGGTGATCGAAATGAAGAAGGAGAACGGCGCGGCGTCCCCGCCGAGGCAGCAAGACAGCAGCAAGGATGTGGCATCTGCCCCCACCAGCCCTGGCTGCAACGCCCAGGCTGAGAAACCCGGGGAGCAGCCCAGCCTGGGGAAGAAAAATGACATCTCCAGACACAGCTACTCCCGGTACAACACGATCTCGTACCGGAGGATCAGGAAAGGAAACACCAAGCAGCGGATCGATGAGTTTGAATCCATGATGCACTTGTGAACTGAGGGGCAGAATTGCTTAACCCACCGAGCGGTTGCTCTGGTTTTGTTCTTTCCTTTTTGTGCCCCCCCAGCATGGCTCCTCACACAACGAGGTCACTGCTGGCTTCCCCTTTTTATATGTGATTTCATAATTCCCTGTGAAAATTTAACATCTTTGCTGTGACAGCGGGCAGAGGCCCCCGTAGAGCAGGAAAATAAATCATCAGCTTGCTGAGTGTAATGCCACTTGGTTTAAAGTTTAGCCTTGTATTTTCTACCCAGCTTTTGTGACCATACCCAAGCAAAGGGCTGTCTTGAAGTGGCTGGGGCTTCTCTGGCTGCTGCCACACAGGTGTCCCTGCCAGCAGCTGTGCTGGTGATGGGTGGGCAGTGCAGCCTCTCCAAGGGCACCGGCCAGGGCAGTGTGAGTGGGGAGGCTTGTTTGTAGCCACCCTGTCCTGCTCTGTGTCCTGGGGTGTGTCAGGCCCTGCTGGGGTCTGGTGGACACCAGCAGCTGCCTCCTGCTCCCCAGGGCTGGTGGCATTTGAGGGCAGATGTGCAGGGACCAGCCCTGCCGAGCTGCACGGGGCAGGTGCCTGTGCCCAGGGCCTGGGCAGGCTTCACCTGGCAAACCCTGACACGGCCTGAAACCTGCATTTCCCAGGTGCCACCAGCTCAGGCTCTCTCACATAACTTCTTGATTCTCACACTAACTATAGATGCCAAATTTAAAATATTTTTGTTTGTTTGTTTGTTTTTCCCAAGCAGGTCAGTTCTGTGCACGCTTTGGTTCCGTGTCAGCTGGACACAACCCTCCTCCACTTTGCAAAGCCTTTGTGTACCTACAGTATTGTTGATGCAGTCTTTTTTTAAACTCTTTTACAGACAGATTTGTCTTGAGTTGGGACTAAGCTTTGCAAATGTCATCCCAGAAAGCATCTGGGAAAGTTGAGAGCAGCTGACAAGGGAGAGGAGGTAAGAACAAAGTCAGACTCCAACTCCAGCTGCCGTGGCCTCCTTCGGCCACAAGAACTTTTTGTTTGTAAGGATTAGTTTTACATCTCCAGCAGCACTGAATATTGTTTGGACTCTTCTCGTTCTATGTCAAGGCAATTATTTATTGGCGATGTGAAAAGAAATAAATGGCAGTTCTGTATTGTACAAACCAGACACTGCCCTCATTGTGCCATTCAGACTTGTTTGTTCGCTCTCTGGCCCGTGGAAGTTCAGAGGTTTGCTTGTATGAAGCGATACTGTGGGTTTGTTTGCCTGCTGCCAGCTGCCCCGTGTCACTGCCCAGGCAGGGGGTTGTGTAAGGGTGACACAGGCCCTTAAAGACATGGTCGTGGGCTGGGCTGTTGGGGCCTGAGTGGCAAAGTGCTGCTCCCAGGCTCAGCTGCCCCACTGAGGTGGGGCTGGCCCAGCCTGGGCTGCCTCCAGCAGGGGCAGATTGGTTTTCTGTCATACGTCTGTTTCCAGCACTTGGTTCACACCCCAGGTGGCAGGTAGAACACAGTGACGTGCAGGGCTGAGGTGCTTGGTGTGGGTTCCAGCTGAGCCTGGGGTCTCACCCAGGCTTTCAGTGAGCTGGGACTAGTTTGTTACCCTCCTGGGCCACCAAAGTCTGCTCAGCCGAGAACAGCAACCCTCTCTTGCTTGCCTTGGTAGCTGGAAAAATTAGAGTTTTGGGTTACTCCAGGGGCCATCACCTCTTGCCTAACCCGCAGAGTTGGTGGGGTATGGAAATCCAGGGATGTACAGGCAATAGATGGGCAGAAACTGTGGCTTGTGCTGATCCTCAGGGCACTGCCCAGGAGGAGTGAGACACGATGGCCACGTCCTGGCAGGGAGGGGACAATTCCTGCCTCTGGTGCCTGCTGGAAAACATGCTCTGGTTTCTGCTAGACTGGTACAATCTGGACATGTCTCCACATAGTGTCACAGCAGGGCCACAGCTCCCTGCCAGCAGCCCCAGGGCACGCTCAGGTCTGAGCAAAAGACACAGAGAGGGAAGTGAGCATTTACACCCGGGGGATCACGGGCGAGTGACACGCCTGGCAATGGGATGTGACCCTGACATCCCACCCTTTGGTGCCTGCTCAGTGACAAGCAACTGAATGTCAGCACGCAGGGGCTGATGACAACCATGCTCTGATAAAAGATGACTGCACAAACAACATCTGTGTCACTCTCCTGCTGGTGACTGCAGGCCAGTCATGCTGAAGGAGGAGAGAAAATCGGGGAGACAGATGGAATGGGAGCCAGCTGGGGAGATCTGTTGGCCCAGTCAGTATTTTGGTATACTCAGCCCATCACTTGCTGACATGAGAGGTAATGTTATGCTGAGACCTTCTGAAAAGCCAAGGGAGAGGTAGGAGGGGTCTGGTGGACAGCAGCATGAGCCCCAGTGTAATGCTCAGCCCTCTGTATCCCCACAGGGTTCCTTGCTCAGGGAGCAGCCTCCCACAGTGGAAAGGGGACAAAACCCTGCTTGGGACACACTGGTGTTACAGATCCCAGAGCTCTGTCACAGGAGAATTTATTCTTCTATGAAATCTGTCCTTTAAAAAAACTGCTGATGGCTTTTGGAGATCGTAGAATGGTGAAGACTGGAAGGGACCTGAAAGATCATCAGGTTCCAACCTCCCTGCTATGAGCAGGGACACCTCCCACCAGCCCAGGCTGCACAAGCCTCATCCAACCTGCCCTTCAACACCTCCAGGGAGGAGACAGCCACAGCCTCCCTGGGCAACCTGTTCCAGCACCTTACTACCCTCATGGTGAAGAATTCGTTCCTGATTTCTAACCTAAACCTCCCCTCTTTCAGTTTAAAACCATTACCTCTTGTCCTGCCCCTACCCTCTCTGGTGAAAAGCCCCTCCCCAGCTTTCCTGGAGCCCCTCCAGGCACTGGAAGGTGCTGTAAGGTCTCCCTGGAGCCTTCTCTTCTCCAGGCTGAACACCCCAACTCTCCCAGCCTGTCCCCAGAGCAGAGCTGCTCCAGCCCTTGGATCATCTTTGTGGCCTCCTCTGGACTCACTTCAACAGCTCCAGGTCTTCTTGCTTCTTCCACAGCCCCCCCTTTTACTTTGCCTGCTGGGCAGCTTATCGACCCCCATTTGCCTCCCATTATGAAAAGGCAGCTTCTTCAATAAGCAATTGATGGCTAATGGAACCCTGGTACTCATTGGTGGAGGCAACGAGTCTCACAGGGCAGCATCCTCCAGTCACACCCAGCACGGCCATCTCAGATGGATTATTTAATGTGTTGGTCAATAAACTTCCATTTTCTGCAGAAGAATCAGCAGCCCAATTTGCTGTTCACAAGCTGCAAGAGCCCTGGAAGTATTTCTGTAGCTTATGCTGCTGTGTGGAGGGAACCCATGAAGGTTCACTGATGGTGGGATGAGGGACTTCAGAAAATATTTCCATTTAATAATACAGAAAATTATTTGAGTTTTTGCCAAAGTCTTCCACAGTGTGGGAAAAACAGGCCTATCTGTTACAGATGCTGTTTAACCAGATGTGCTGCTCTTGGTAATCCTGATCCCTCAGTCTGCTGGTTTACATGACAGATTTCAAGTCTCACAGATGTCCTTGCTGCAGCCACAAGATGAAAACACAGCGTTTCTGGTTCGGCTGTGTTCAGTCTGCATAGTAATTGCCAAACTGCCACTTTTGATAAGGATTTGCAGCGTTGCAGGCATTTACCCTCAGGGCTCTGTGTGAGGGATCCACTTCCAAGCACACTGGCTGCTGGAGGTGCTCTGAGATGAGGTGGTCGCTCTGCAGGGGAGAGACACACAGACTGTCAGGCAGCAGGGCTCACGCTCTGCTTTTCCACCAAGAAAGCTTCACCCCTTATGGTCTGCCCCTTTTTTCACACATCCCTAACATATAAGCCCCTGCTCCAGCTGGGACCACCAAAGACACTGAACTGGGTGCTCAGGGTGAGCTCGGGCTGGGAGGGGTGACACGACCTGCCCAGGCACTGGCAGTGCTGCCTGCAGCACTGGGCAGCAATTTCCCTGCAGCCTTTGTGAGCCTTGGCACTCTGGCTTGGAAAGTTGGATTTTTTTCAGACTGAACAGGAATGGGAGCTGGTCAATATGATGGGTGTATAACTTGGCTAATTTTCTTTCTTAAATTATGAGTATTTATTTCCTAAATATAAAACAAGCTATTTCATATAATTTTGGACAACTTCTTACACCAGGCTGATGGAGATACCATTACAACTCTCTTGCTTTTTGCAGGGCAGGCTATAAGTACCCATTGTTTTCATAAATGCTTCCTTTTAAAACCCCCATCAATACCAAGTAATCTCTGTGCAAGTGCTATTGATGGCTCCTCTGTACAGCCAGGAGGTTTTGTTACTGCTGTGGGGGCACGGCCAGCACTTCTGTCTAGTTGTGCCAGGGGAGGTTTAGATTGGATCTTGGGAACAGTATGTTCCCCAAAGGGCTGTCAGGCCCTGGCCCAGGCTGCCCAGGGCAGGGTCCCCATCCCTGGAGGGGTTTCCAAGCCCTGGAGATGGTGCTGAGGGACATGGGGCAGGGGTGGCCTGGGCAGGGCTGGGGGAAGGGTTGGATTCCATGATCTTAGAGGCCTTTTCCAGCTAAAATGGTTCTATGATTCCATCCCCACACGGAGAGGCAGCAGCACCATGGAATCCACACTTAATTTTGGGTGAAAATCCAGCTTTTGGTCCAGCCTCACCTGACCGGAGGGCTGGGGAACACCCCGAAACCTTGTGCTGGGCTGTGTCTGCCCGTCAGCCTGCAGGAACCCAGAGGAGGGGCACGGACCCGCAGCAGGGAGCTGGTGCTGCCCCCAGCTCCTGACTCATCAGCTCGGGGCGGTGGGATGCCAGTGCCCCGTGCAGGCACGTCTGGCCCCGGCCCCGGCCATGGCAGGGGCGCAGGCCCGGGGGTCCCCAGGCCGTGCTGGGGGACAGGCAGAGCTCTCCCTGCCGGACCAGTCTCAGCCAGGTGTAGTTGAACTGCTGGTGCTGTGGGGGAGAGACAGGGAGAGCTGTGACCCCACGCGCCCTCCATCTGCAGGCAGTGGGGCACAGAACACGGGCTTGTGGTGAACTGTGTCCCCCCGTTTTCACGTGCAGGCTCAGGGCTATACTGAGCTTTCCCATTCCAGCTGAACGTGCTGGTCCTGGGACTGCTGCTGGGCTACAGGCTTTGCAAACAGAGAAAGCTCCTGCCCCTCAGCATTGTCTGGCCGTGTCCCCCCGATGGGAAGTTGGGCATGAGCTCCCCAGGGGATGGGGGTCACCAGGGGGAGGTGGGGAGCTCTGTGCCGAGCAGCAGGGCTGTGTAACACGGGCGGGGTGCAGGGGGTGCTCACCTGGCTGTGGGCATCACAGGCCTCCACGGCTGGGGCGGCGCTCCCCGCGGCCAGGCACCTGCCCGTGCCCAGGTTCACCAGCTGCAAAACAGCACCGAGAGGCAAACTCAGGGCCCAGGAGGAGGAGAGGCTGTCACACTGCAGCTCAGCTGCTGGGCTCCCAGGGCACTGCCTGAGCCAGGCAGAGACAACGTCCCCCTGCCCTCGCCAGGGGTGCAAAGGCACACCTTTTCTATTTTCCCACGGAGAACAGCCTGAAAACAGCTCTTTGCAGAATGGCTCGAGGCTGGATGAGACGTGTTCTTTTTTTGGACACAGCTGGTGTTCCTGTTCTGCCAATCCCCCAAACAACAGCTCCCAGCAGTATCCACCATGGAGCCCCTTCCCCTTGCCCACCCCCATGAAGGAGGTGAGGTCAGAGGCTGCCCAGCAGCACGGCAGGTTATACGGGAAAGCTGGAAACACAGGAGGGAGCTGGGCCAGCCCCTCTGGTTCTGGGCTGAAGCCCATCACAGCACAGGGCCCCTGGGCCAGCCTGCTCACATCACCAAGCCCTTGCAAACCTTGATCCTTCTCCTTCTTCCAGAATTTCTGAAGAATTTATGAATTCATCCTGACAGATAAATAAACAGGCTATTCAGAAAAGAGTTCTCAAGTAACTCTGGGTGGTGTTCAGCACAGCTGGAATGTGCACAGCTAGCTAAAAACCCAATCTTCTGCCCTACTAGATTTTGAGAATGAAGATAAAAAGAGTGATTCAGGTGGCCTGAATCAGGACAACACGAGGGAACATCTTGAAAATTTTCACAAACACCCCTGAAAAGCTAAGGTTTTGGTGCAGTTGAAACCCAAGGCCTCTCTCTAACTGCTTTGCACTGAACTTGACATGAAGTTGTATTGCCCTGACTGAAACTAAAGAGCTGAAAATAGGAATATTTCTAAAGAAATGTATAAATTTTTATGTTCTCCAGACTATTCTGCTAGGTTTTTTTGTTGTTGTTGTTTTTTTTAAGGTCACTTAAGCTGCCTTTAGCTTTCATTCCTGGCATCACTGTAATTTTTCTGACAAGCCAGGTATTTTACTTCTGTTACTACAATTATAACTAGAATGCAATCAATCTTGCACCTTTTCTGGGTAGCATACCTGAGGTTTCTGAACCACAGTTGATGTCCAGCTGATGCTCCGGGTGGGACCAAATTCAGAACCACCTTTTAGCCTTGTAGAATTGACAGAATCCCAGAATTACTGAGGCTGGAAAAGACCTTTCAGGCCACCAAGCCCAGCCTATGACCAACACCACCACATCTCCAGCCCATGGCACCAAGGGCCCCCTCCAGCCTTTCCTTCAACACCTCCAGGGATGGTGCCTCCACCACTTCCCTGGGCAGCCCATCCCAGTGTCTGATCACCCTTTCCATGAGGAAGTGCTTCCTGATATCCAACCTAAACCTCCCCTGGAGCAGCTACAGCCCAGGCCCTCTTGTCTTGTTGCTGGTTGCCTAGAAAAAGAGCCCAACCCCAGCTGGGCACAACCTCCCTTCAGGTGGTTGAAGAGGGTGAGAAGGTTCCCCTGAGTCTCCTCGAGGCTAAACAATCCCAGCTCCCTCAGCCTCTCCCTGTAAGATTTTGCCTTTAGTCCTTTCACCAGCCTTGCTGCTCTCCTAGTGTTGGTACAGAGACCGAGCCTTGCTGCCTGTGCAGAAGAAAAGCAGATTGATGCTGCGCTCTGCTGGCGGCACAGCACCGGTACAGACCCTGCCAGCACCGGTATAGACCCTCCTGGCACCGGTACAGACCCTGCCAGCACCGGTACAGACCCTCCTGGCACCGGTACAGACCCTGCCAGCACCGGTCAA